TAACCTGAGCCACACTAACTATAAGCTTTATCAAGAAGAAAAGTTGTAAGCTTTGCCTTAAAAATAGACAGGGTGTCTGCCTCACAGACTGGAACTGAGAGTTGGTTTCACAGGAGAGGAGCCTGATAACTAAAAGATCTGCCTCCTGTTCTCCTTTTAGAAGTTCAAGGAACCACTAGTAAACCTGCGATTGAGAGCGAAGTGCTCTGTTAGGAACATAAGGAAGCCAACGCAGGCTAATTAAAATAAGACAATTGTGATCTCTCTTTAATTTTTATCAGAACTCTGGCTGCAGGATTTTGGATCATCTGAAGACTTTTAACTAAACTTTGTGGACTTGCTGATGATAAAGAATTACAATAGTTCAACCCTGAAGTCAGAAAAGCATTTGCAATATGGCCTAGATTTCTAGAAAGCTGTTTAATATGGATCTGCCTGTGATTTGAGACTGAGAGGGATGTTTTCTTTTCCAACAGGACAATAACCCAAAGAATACTTCTAAAATAACACTTGAGTGCTTTAAAGAGAACCATTTGGGTATATTGGAATGGCCTTGGCAAAGTCCAGACCTTAATCCACAGTAGAATTTGTCTTGGAGTTGATGAGTGCTGTTCACGTTAAAACCCGCCAACATACAGGAGCTGGAATAGTTTTACCTTGAAGAATGGGCCAATAAACAGAACATGGAAAAGTGGTAGAATACTTTAGTAGGCTGCCATATCCGTCTCTATGGGATCCTACATTACCTGTTTAAGGAAGCCACCATTACATCACATAGAAAATACATATTATGATGTTTATGTGCGAGCCCTGGCCCCGACCTAAACTTTCCATCAGAGGCGCATGGCAGCCCAACTTAACTATCCTCCTGGGCAGTGGTCCTCATCAGGGAAATTAAACCCTATTGAATATTGAACACCAGTAAGTCAAGCTGCTTTGAGCAAAGTTAGGATGGTATTTCTCCAGCAAGATCTTTCAATCTCAGGGAGATTTGCAATAGAAGACCCCGCCAGAATCTAAGGTCTCATATAGTATAATGCGCTAATTAAAATGCATTATATTACCTTTGATTTTCTTACATTTTGTAACACTAAAACCATATGGAGTGAATTTGGTTCCAGTATTGTTGTAAGGAAAGAACACATTTTGTACTAAGAAAAAAAACAAAACAAAACAAATTGTTAACATTTGTTTTCTATCAAACATTGTTTGATAGAAAAAGGTTTTTAGAGTAACTGCAGATTTTTTTTGGTTTTTAAAATTAGTTTTCATATATTAGTTTTTCAAATGTAATTTCCTTTCAAATATTATATTTTTTTTAATTATATTATATTTTAAATTTGTTTTTTAGTTGTTTTTTCAAATGTTATTGGTTAGTATTTTCTTTTTTGCATTCTTTTTATTTAATTGTCAAAAATTAAAGAATAGAAAAATATGAAAATTCAAAATGTTAAGAAATAAAATCGGAAAAATAGATTTAAAAGAAATATTTGAAATACATATTTTTTGATATACATTTACAAAACATGCTCGCTTTGAACGTTGTGCAACATTCATATGTAATTGTAAAATGAAAAGAAATCATTCCTGGGTTTGAATTTTCTTTTGAAATAAAACAGTAGTTTTGTGTATTTTCAGCATTTACATATATTTTATTAAATCTAGTCCAGTTCTAATTAGTGGAGCTGGTCTTGAAGTACTGTTTTTTTTCTAGTGATTAGTCTCATTTCCTTAGTATAATCAGTGATTTTTATTTTTCTCCCTGGATTGATTCAGTATCACCACAGGGTGATGCTGCTGCTGCCACCAGCATTACACCGTGTTTAGAGATGAAGGTGTTTGCTACACATACTTAGTTTGCCTTTAGGCCTAAAAGTTCAAATTATGTCTTATCAGATATGCTGGTAAACAATTTTGACTTTTTCTCAATTAAACAATGTTGTTGATAGTCTATAAAGGCCAACTTTGAGAATTGCACAACTTACAGATACCCTGATGCTATATTCTCCCACCTGAGCTGTGAATCTCTGTAGCAGAGCTTTATTCCTCTGTCTTTTGGATGGCAGGTGGAGCCGAGCTCCATAATGCTTTCAGCTTTTTCTTTTGTTTGGTAACATAGCCCTCCTTAAAGCCCCCAATAACTTTCTGCTATATTAACTGACCTTCTTGATGCTGTTCACAGAAAAGCTGAGATTAGATTAACTTTTATTACTAAATAGGTGACTAGAAGGAACTGTAGAGGTAAAAGAGACTGAATTCAAATGGAGCATATGTATAATTTTACAAAACATTAACCACCAACTAAATGAAACTATTTATTTGCAAGTTTTTTTTTTACTTTTTAAAATCTTGGTTTGGGGCTTCTGTTGTAATTTAGCTGGAAGTGAAACTGTTCTTAAACGTGCATGTACAAAAATTGATCAGAATTAAAAAAGAACACTTTTTTCGGGAATATGTTGTCTTTAAATATCAATGTTGAAACTTTTTCTTTATAAAGCAAAAAGCAAACTTAGTTTTTCTTTTATTATTATGGTTGATTCTAAAGAGCTTTGGCGTCACTTCTGTCGTTCATGTCGTGTAGTAGGATAAGGCATCTCTGCTCTGAATTTTGAAGTCATACTAACACGGTTGTGTTTACTTATTTTTTTAATGGTGTTTAAGAAATAATAACTACTCAGGGGTAAAGCTCTTATCTTTGGCATTTTTTCCTTCCTTTAAATCTTCTCTTTGTTTTTTTTTTGTTTTTGCAGGAGTTGAAGCTGCCGTTTACATTCATGAGTGGGCATATCCATGAGCTACGAATCCACGTTCCTTGGACCAAGCTGGGCTCAGAGCCTGTCGTTATCACCATCAACACCATGGAGTGTATCCTCAAGCTAAAAGATGGAGAACAGGTAGGTTCTTCTTCATTTTAACTGTTGTACTGGGCTAAAACATCACCGCTTCCCACATCCCAAAAATATATTTTGGCAGAAACAATTCAAGTTTATTATAGTTTATAGACAGAATGACTGACCCTTCCTTCCTTCCTTCCTTCCTTCCTTCCTTCCTTACTAACTTACTTTCTTCCTTACTTCCTTACTTACTTCCTTCCTTCCTTCCTTACCTACTTACTTCCTTACTTACTTCCTTATTTACTTACCTACTTCCTTCCTTACTTACTTCCTTATTTACTTACCTACTTACTTCCTTACTTATTTACTTACTTCCTTACTTCCTTATTTACTTCCTTCCTTCCTTACTTACTTACTTACTTCCTTATTTACTTACCTACTTACTTCCTTACTTACTTACTTCCTTACTTACTTCCTTATTTACTTACCTACTTACTTCCTTACTTACTTCCTTATTTACTTACCTACTTACTTCCTTACTTACTTACTTCCTTATTTATTTACCTACTTACTTCCTTACTTATTTACTTCCTTACTTCCTTACTTACTTCCTTATTTACTTACTTACTTCCTTATCTACTTACTTACTTACTTACTTAAACAGCATATAAGGTACTGACACACTCGAAGTAGTCCATCTTGGCCATTTCAAAAGTACTCGCAAAGCATCATTCTAGGGCACAAGTTGTGAAATTAGGTTGTATTTTTCCATTTATTCAATGAGTTATCCTTAAAGATGGGCAACACAATCAAAAATCTTTACTGCTCAGTCATTGATCTGAGCTGAACAGGAGAGTACCCAGAACATGTTCTCAACTAGATCTACTTCATATTCATACTAAAGGTAAAAAGTAGCAAAACAAGAATTACTTAAGAGTTAAAATGCATTTGATAAGCTACTAACGTACTGAGTAATTTATAATATCTGATTTAATAGAGAAAAAAAAGTTATTTTCTAGTATTTTGCAGAATAAATTCATTAATACAAATAAGTGAGATAATTAAAACACAAACTCACGTAGAGGAAACACTCAAATAATTTTGTTTCAGCATAAAACGTTTGAAAACAATACATTAGATACCATATCTGTGTTTAAACAGGTTAAGGTACCACCAGTGACCATAAACGCTGCTTGCTGTACTAATTAACCCCTAAATGTTAGACAGCTCAGCTGATAAAAAGTAGAATCAAAATCATAATACTCATTATTACAAAAACCTGCACTTTTGGTTAAAACATGTTTGTTCTCTATTCTGGAATGTTAGTTGTAGACAGAGTAGCAAGAAACTTTAAGTAGAAGTAGGGATGCTTTTTCAGATAAGAGAGTTAAGATCGGTGCAAAAACGCTTCCCTTAGAGTTATATGAAAAAAACATAAGTAATTACTACCCAACTCTGGTTCTGAGCATTTTTTTTGGATGCTTTTTTCTATTTTTTATTTAGTTTTTTCATTTTTTTACATTTATCTGGACTTATGTTTGCCACCCAGGCAGGTTATAAAATTCCCAAATGTAGCTCAGAGCCGGCCCCTTGTATGGGAAGGCTGAAGTTTCAAGGCCAGATGTCCCAGAAGAAACACATTTCAAGGGAAGTCAATTACAGCTAATTATATAGACTGCAGCAGCAAAAAGGAAAAAAAAAAAAAAAGATTTGTAACACATGATTTGGAGCTCCCCAGAACTAATGGTAAATATCACTGTGTGCAGGTGGCTACTGCGGGTCTTATCAGGTTTCTAATTCTATGGAAATTGAAACGTGTTTTAATGCTTGGTTATACAGCTTAAGGTCATGTAGCAGCAACAGCACTGATGTATTCTCAAAACAACTATTTGTTGCAGATGTTTTGGGAAAAGCTTACGGTGGAGAGGAGATTTTTGGGGAATTGCAAATGACATTTGGACAAATTATTCAGTGGTATGCGAACCCGAGAGACATAATTTGGAGTAAAGCCAGACTTACAGGAGAAATCTTTCAAACATGTGGAATTTAAATGAAGCCCTAAACTTCTCCTCTATCTGAGGAAGGAGGCCGACTTCTGAGTTTTAACCCAAGAGCACAAAGCCAACTTAGTTTAACAGAGTTATGATTCATTTATGGGGATTAAGTTTAGATAAGTTTATAACAAGAAGGAAACTAAATGTTTTAGTGAATCCTGTGTGAAGTGGATAATAATGTTCTATATAATGCTTACATAGATTGGCGGGTAATCATATTGTGATTGGATGCAGGGAGCTTGTTTGGCGTTGGTTCATGCAACAGATGGGCCTTGACATTTCGCCCTGCGGCTCACATGCAATTTGCACAATGGCCCAAAGGATTTTGAAAGAACTGAAACATCTCATCTGTGAGTGGAAAATCTTACCATTTGTTTAGACGATCGCCAGTGTTTCTTCTGTCCAGTGGAAACCTTGCGGTTGGCCTCACACCACCGATGTGTGGAAATGATAAATGATATCATTAATATGGTTTGTTTTCATAATTACCGTTAAAGCCTGAGCTCTGGCTTGTAAAAACATCCGCACATCTCTTATAGTGCGCTTAGGGCCACGTAATTTGACCGGAATTGTTTAGACCTTTTGAGTGTTCGTGCCCCCCCCCCTCCCGAGAGGAACTGGGTAATATTAGGGATTTTCAGATTGCCCAATAGGGTTTTATCTGCAGAGCACTATGAGTAGCTCATGATTATGGTTCCCAACAAATGTGGATGGATTACAGCTCGTGCTGACAGTGAGGCTGCTTCCAACAAATATAGTGTAGTACGGATTAAAGTACAGAAATCATGGCGAAAACAAGGATTTTGTCCACTTTCTTTAGCTCTAAGCTTAAAAATAAGCAGACATGATGTGGAAGTAAGGTTTACCTGCTGTTATCTGATAGTTTCTATTAAGGGATGTGAAGTCTGACTGTAGATTAATGTTGATCTTTGAAATCCAGTTAAGATGGTGTCAAATAAAACTTGCATTGAATACTTTGTATTTGCATAAAACATGTTTTTCTTTTCCTACAAGCGTTAATATTACACCTCACTTCATTTAGGGTATTTAATTAATCAATCAAAGGACAAAGGCAGACTGCAGCGGTTAATCCGGTCTGCAGAGAAGGTGATTGGCTGCAAACTTCCATCCCTCCAGGATCTGTACACCTCCAAGACTCTTGGTTGTGCACATAAGATTGTGGCTGATTCATCAGGACCAAAACCTCGTGTCACAAGAACAGTTTCTTTTCATCCGCTACCAGCCTTATCAACAAGGCCCAGAGACCCCCGGGACACTGCCTTACTGCCTTTCTCCCTCCCCCGTTCAGGACCTAGAAGCTACACCAACGTAGCATCTCCAGACCGCCTGTGTTAAATTAAAGTACAGCCTACTGTGTAGAGATGTCCCGATCCAGGTTTTTGCACTTCCGATCCGATACCGATATTGTTTTTGGACTTCCGATCCGATACCGATACTGGCCG